GAAATGCACGGGACTATGGTGGTGGCACAGGGGTGATTTGGTGATGGGAAACCCGCGGGGATTACAATTGAGATGGAAAAAAAAATGTACAAAATGATATAAAAATAAACCGTTATAAAATTAAAAAAAAATTTTTTTAAATGTTCTTTTGTTTCAAGGAAATTGGTTCCCCCCTCGGTTTGAAAAAATCTTAAACATTCCTAGGCTTTATTTGCTTATCTTAATTAACCTTAAAACTGCTATCTTCGAGTCTTGGTCTCCTGTAATAGTTAAAACTAAATATTGATTCTATGGGAAAATCTTTTTAAACTTATATCTCATAAAAAAAAAACACCTTGAGGTTTATCAAAGTTATTAAAACATCAGTTGTAATGGCCTAAAATCTAAGTTATTTAAACATCAAGTTGTTAAAAGTGTGTGTCACTAAAATGAAATCTGTTTTGTCCTCGCAAAATATGTCTAAATTTACTTAACATTCATGGCTATGTTTTGCTCCTGTGAGGAAAATTAACTTTCAGGGTTACCCTGCTCTATACTGTAAAAGCTAAAATTTTATAATAAGTGTTAAAGGTCTAAAAGTATTTAAAAGTTTCATGTGCTTAAATTACTTACTACTTAACATCAGTAGTATATGCCTGTGTATTTCAGTAGTGTGATCTTGTTACTCATACTCAGGTTTTGTTAATTACAAAACCTAATACCACAAACATTACTAAGTCTTGTCAACAAATAGATGAATTCATAAATCTTGATCACCTGGATAATTTTTTAATAAAATCTGTAAAGTTTACTAATCCTATTACAAACTTCTGTAATGTTAACCTCCTGAAATATTAAATCTATGTCTTAAAGGACTCCTAAAACAGATATTCTCAGGTATTATTACAGGGCAGCAGATCTGTTCCAGGACAGGGGGAGAGGGGCACCCCTAAGTCCCCCAAAACCTGCCTGCTCTAAGTGGGTTCTGCCATCTGCCGCAACAAGACAAAACATATAAAACTTTAATGAAAAGGGACTTTAATACAGTGAATTTACAATAAGGAACACAAAGGATATAACTTCTAAATCAAACACCTGAAGTTACCCATCCCCTTGTGGGCAAAAGTCAACCCAAAAGGGATTGGCCCAAAGCAAGGCCTGAAAGCTGCCACTAGACTAAACCACCTTCTGGCCGGGACCCATGGAAAAGGGTCAGAAATGGCCAGACAAGTCTGGGAGGAAAAGAGCAAAATCAAAATCAATATAAACACTGCCATAGTCACCTCCCTACAGGTATCTCACCCACATCTGCCTTAACCAGTCCAGGGTCAGGAAACAAGCCCGGTTTCTTCATCACATGCTTGCTGCTCCACGTGGCTTCCTCAGGTCTCCTCCTTATTCTCCATCTGGCTTCCTTCTCTTCTTCTCTCTTCTTCTTTTTCTCTGCTCAGCTCCACCCTCCTTCTGGGTGGGGCAGGGAACCTGGAACTTCCCTTTTTCCTAGGGGCCACCCTGTTACAATATTAGACTTCTTAATGCCTAATTATATCCTGGTACTATCCTAAATCTGTATGTTAAAAGAGTGAGAAAAGATGGTGGTGAGTGGAAAAGTCAGGCTCAATAAAATAAGTGCTGCCATTGCCAGCACCCTGCAGGCCCAGGCTTACCCAGACTCACAGAAAACCTACTGGAAGGAAACACCTGAGGTGCCCCAGCAGCCCTGTGACGCTGCTGCTATAAGTCTCGATACTAAAACATAAAACTGGGAAGGCCACTGAAAAGGGGATGCCCCCTTCTCTGAAATTGTAACTGGGTGGTCCCTAGGAGAAGGGAAGTTCCAGGTTCCCTGCCCCACCCAGAAGGAGGGTGGAACTGAGCAGAGAAAAAGGAGAGAGAAGAAGAGAGAAGGAAGGCAGAGGCAGATGTAGAAGGAGACTTAAGGAAGCCACATGGAGCAGCAAACATGTGATGAAGAAACCGGGCTTGTTTCCTGACCCTGGACTGGTTAAGGCAGATGTGGGTGAGATACCTGTAGGGAGGTGACTATGGCAGTGTTTATATTGATTTTGATTGTGCTCATTTCCTCTCAGATTTGTCTGGCCATTTCTGACCCTTTTCCATGGGTCCCGGCCAGAAGGTGCTTTAGTCTCGTGGCGGCTTTCAGGCCTTGCTTTGGGCCAATCCCTTTTGGGTTGACTTTTGCCCACGAGGGGATGGGTAACTTCAGGTGTTTGATTTAGAAGTTACATTCTTTGTGTTCCATATTGTATATTCACTGTATTAAAGTCACTTTTCATTAAAGCTTTATATGTTTTGTCTTGTTGCGGCGGATGGCAGAACCCACTTAGAGTAGGCAGGTTTTGGGACTTCAGGGGTGCCTCTCTCTGAAATGAGGTGCCCTATAACAAAATGAGGAGGGACCAGTCCCTCAGCTGCCAGCCTGCAGCCTGGACAACAATAGCGAGGTCTCCTGGACAATGAAGCCTCTGGACGACGAGTGATGGAGCCAAGGATGATGCAGGCTCCCCAACTGACCATCTCCGTGGCTGAGTCTAGGGTAACTCTGGATGTCGCAGGTAAATATTAATTTTCTTCTTGATCTGGGAGCCACTTACTCTATACTCACCCACCTTTTCTTCACAAATGTGATAGGAGTAGATGAAAAAATATATATATAAAATACCACCTACTTTCAGCCCAGCACCCTCCTTCAGCATGTTGATGACCCTCTCCTGATGAAGTCTCTTTCCAGAAAAACTGGTCTACTTATCTTTTTCTCTTGGAAAAAAGATACTCTTCTCCCAATAAATGCCTTGACTTCTTTAGATAAAGTTTGTCATGACTCAAACGTTGAGTAAAGTGAGCTGTGTG